AATAGAGATATTTCAGGAGCTCTCACAGAATTCGCTAAATACGAGTTTAGGATATTCAAGTCAATGCCTGTCTTTTCACTTTTTTGAGACAAGAAGCTTACTTTTCTTATAAATTCCCAAGCGCTCCGAATGTCTTTTTGAGTTAGAAGACTTTGTCCGTATTTTTCATTGCTACCTTAATAATATTTTTAACTTTTTAACTATTTCTTTGTTCATCCATTTAGGTTTGTTTTTTCTAAAGAGATACTGCTTGAGTGGAATCAAGCAGTGATTACCACTGGTAAAGCAATAATGTCTAAACAAGTTGCGGAAGTTGCCGTAATTCTTGTTGGAGCAATCAATCTAATTGAAGCATTAGCAAAATTTAAAGTAGTATATAACAACTTTGCAGGATACAATGTAGGTTTCATCATGTCAGCATTCAAGTTTCCAAGTATGCAGATTAGCCCAGTTGAGCTAATTTCAGCAATAATTAGGTTAAATTTACGAAACCAGTCGGCTGGTGCATTAGTTGGTCGATATACTCCAATAACAACAATGGATCGTCTCGGTTTTTTTAACTGAATTTTATTGACCCTTGCTTCTATTCCTTGGTAATTAAGCTTCAATTGTAACAAAAATTTTGGGGTAGGGTGATTACATTCATAAAAGATTTTCTTTTATGAATGTAATCACCCCACTACCTGAAGAATTCCTATCGCGTCTGTTTACAAGGTAACCATCAAGTGCTAGAGATCCGCAGGTGACTGTTTCATCCAACTTAGTTTCCTGCAGACTGACCATATCCATTTTGAAGATGTAATCTTTTGATAACACACATTTACTTCTTAATCCATTAATGTTCCTTGACACCAGTCATAGTGAGTTGTTAGTTTTGGTTGAGGGCAAGGGTTTGTTTTTGGCTAAGTAATTGAAAGTCTTTATTGAGTCCTGTTTTAATCTACAACTACATTGGCCAAATATTGGCTACGGCATTAGCGTAAGAACATATTTTTATAGCAAAATATCAAGCCAATACTACATTAGCCCAATATTAGCCCAACATAGCACGATATTTGCAAAAAAAAAAACGATTTGTAGAACTGAAATATTACACCGAAAAAAAAACATTGGCTAAGTGTTGGCCCAATATAGTACGATATTTGCAAAAAACCGATTTGCTGAATTAAAAATAATACGCCGAAAAAAAACATTGGCTAAATGTTAGACCAACGGAATAAATTTGCCAATGTTAAAACTTACGTTGGGCCAATGTAAGCTTGCTGTCTGGGTTGTATCAAAAGCTTTTGATAAATCTATAAAAAACTCCCAACGTGAATAAATAAAAATCTCTCTAAAACTTTAGAAAAAACAGACAAAATAGAAATTGGGTGATAATTAGAAAAACTGCTTGCATCACCAGCTATGAAAATTGGTGTCACTTTAGCTATTTTTAGAAAATCAGGAAAAACGCCCTGTTTTATTGAACAATGTAAAACTTTAAATAGTACATCTTTTAGGGGTTTATAAAACTCGATGACAACATTACCATTTATATTATCATATTTAATTTATATTATTATATTATCATGTTTATTGTTATATTGTGTTATTTTAGATGTTATGCAATAAAACTGCGCTTATTTAGAGAATCGGCTTGAAAAGTGTTGATTAATTGCGACCGGTATAAGAATTTATAAAATAGTTTGTTTTTCAATTACATTCAATAGACCAGTGGTTTAATGTGCTGCCATCGGTATCGTTTTAAAGGGTTCAAGTCCGCCTTTTAACACGATATAATAACAATTTTTTCAATCTGGCCCAAGAACTACTATACGGAAGGACGCGCAAAGTAGATGCCCTGACTCCGCTAGCATATTTTGAAACTCTATACAGGCTCAGATTAGGCAGAGATATGCGTAACCTGATTCGCCAATTTTGAAAGAGAGGCTTTTGCGCGTAAGTTTAAATCAAAACAAATGTCAAAAAAACGTATTGAATAATAAAAGTGAAATAGAGTAATTGCCAAATAATAATAACAAAAAAAAAATGATTTTTCTATCCAATTTTGTACAATATAGTACATTTATTTTCTTAAAAATAAAGATTTAAAAAAGTTAGTTTGTTTTCCTTATGGTTTTTATAACTCTAAAATAAAAGTAACAACGATTGTAACAAACTATAAACCAGATGGTAAAACTTTACTATGCTGTTAGCAATTCCACGGCTTAACAAAAAACATTTGACGTTTGACAAAAAACACGTAATTTTTATAAACTTTGCTCTCTTATATCTTTTTGTATGGTTAAGCAAGCGCCTTGATGTTTTTTGCATCAGCTAGTGTTACTCAATCTCTTTCTAACCATATATAGAAAGTACTAAGTTTTGTATGGCTTCATTTATATATTGTCCATATCTTAAGACCGCTTTTCATAAAAAAACTTGCCGCGGGAACGTTTTTTTAAAACGTTCCCTTAGAACTTAAACACATCTATTTTTTATGAAACTTTCCATATTTATTAAGAAAAGGACGAGGAATCTAATGGAATCTGGACGTTTTTTAACTTTTATACATTGTCACATTGGCAAAAAAAAATTTATCAGTTCTTCCTTTGTTGGAATAGAAACAGTTTTTCTCGGTGTTTTTTTATTTTCATTATCTACTCCATGTTCTTTATTGTTTAAGTTGTATTCCAATGATTTGGGTGAGGTAAAATCAATACTTGCATCAGACTTGTATATTATACAATATATCATACTTGATATTTTTAGAGCTTGGTAGCAACCAACAATAGACAACTTTGTTACCAAGGTGATCAGTTCGACAACCAAGTATTAACACCAAATGTACTGATGGGAGGAAAACCTGCGGCAGGGAAAAGAAAAGCATCACAAAATGTCAGGGGTTGGAAGCTAAGTGCTTATTAAAGATGACGTGAAAAACAAGGTACTTTTTAATACTGGACGAATTGAAAGCGAAATTAAAGGTAAAGATAGAGTTATACATGGTTTTAAAATACGATTGGCAAACGGTTATGTGATTGAACGACTAATTCAACTAATGTGCAACCGGAAATTGATTGTGAGGTGAAATCTTGAAAAGAGCAACGCGACGGGCTAAATTGGACGCGATACAAATGATTAATTACATCGTGGAAGACGAGATGGTTGATTAAAGCCTTTAGATCTCACCTTTATTCGGGGAAGGTTGTTGTGAATGACGTCTTTCACGCTTCTAGAAAACAATAAGCGGTTATCTTTGAATATTAAATTTAATAAACTTATGATGATGTGGTCTTCTGGTAGGTTTGGGAAATACGCTATCTAATTTAAGGATATTATTATAATACATGTCGTGGTTTCGAATTGTGTATATATTATGTTTGATATTTGTTAATAATATTCGCAGTCAGATGATAATAAAATAGCACTAAACAAACGACTGAAATCATTAGCGTCTTAGGGAAACTTATTCGTATTTATGAGAGACTTTTTGAAAATCCGGAAAAACTTCAAGTTTCTAATTATCTTACTTCAATTACGGTCGTGTGCAGTAAAATAGTAGTGCGTATTTTATTTTTCTATCAACAAACTTTGAACATCAAAGTATATTTTTCTATTGTTTGTTTTTTATCGTTTTTGTTCGTAAACTAAATGTTGTGATTATAATAGTATAAGAAAGATAATTGCAGCACTGTATGGTTTTAAATTTCAATATTATCGATTAAAGGTCATTCGTATTTTTTTTTTTTAGACTGTGCAATAAAATAGTAGTGAAAATTATTTTTTATGAAAAGGTCAAAAAATAAATAAACTTTATTACAAAAAAAAAATTTTTTTTGAAGCTCTACATTTGTATTTTGTGGCATGACCTTTATTTGTAATAACCGCCAAGCACCTTCGTTGCATGGAATTAATAAGATTCTGACATCGTTCGACAGATATATATGTTATGCTGACTGTACTACGTCTCACAATTGATTCAAACCGTTCCATGATACCTTCTATGCGATGTATCGGCCAAAGACCATAGTAAGAAAAACAACCCCATATCATTATTTTTGAGCCTCCATGTTTGACAGTCTTTAATGTAAATTGTGGCTTATATGCTGCACCCGTTGGTCTTCTAACATACTGTTTACGAACATAGGAACCAAAAATTTCAACTTTGCTTTCATCAGTCTACAAAATATTTCGCCATTTTTTCTTTAGGCCAAGAAGCATGCATACGTGCAAATTTTAAACGATTTTCGATATGTCTTTTACTCAAAAGTGGCACTTTTCTAAGTGTTCTTGCATTTAAATCGGCATGTGTTGAGGTATTAACATTTATTTCTAGCCTTTCTTTAATTTTTCTAGAAGTAATAAATGGCTCCTTTTTCGCTAACGATACACTTCGACGACCTGCTATTGCGGTAGTTGATCTTTTATTTCTACGTTTTTCTGGTTTGGGTATCCATTTTAAAGCATTACAAATCATTGTTGGTAAGCATCCAACCAATTCTTATATTTGTTTGTAGGCTTTACCGTGATTTTTAAGATTTATAATTAAATTACGAACTTCTTCAGTACAATGCTTAGAGCGCCCCATGTTTCTCTAAATTTTCAAAATTTTAGTAAGTGTATAAATTTATCTAATATCAAAATTAATTAGTTACTTATTAATAAGAACTAATAATAATTAGAGTTTAATAAGTACAGCAATCATTACACAAAAAATTAATTTTTAACTACTATTTTATTGCACAGTCTAAAAAAAAATACGAATGACCTTCAATCAATAATATTAAAAATTTAAAACCATACAGCGCTGCAATTATCTTTCTTAAATTTTTTTTATACTATTATAATCACAACATTTAGTTTATGAACTATAGCGATAAAAAACAAACAATAGAAAAATATACTTTGATGTTCAAAGTTTGTTGATAGAAAAATAAAATACGCACTACTATTTTTACTGCACACGACTGTACCTTCGTTTTATAGGCTGGTTTGGCGTTAACTCATTAAGCTTAACATTAAAATCAAGGTTATTAGATATCGCTATATAAACGTGCTATGAGTCACAAAATAAAACTGGAATAAAAAGTAAATCGTCTGCAGCTATTACTTGGCCATTAAAGTTTTCTTCAGCTTCTTTTTTTAACTTTTGGATGCTATCGTTTTCAGACTCATCGCTTATCGTTTTGTAACGTTGACTAAAATGAGTTATAATTAAAGTCCGAGCACGGACAAGAGCTGCAAAACGACCGGCCATACCTGAAAAATAAAAAAAACTTCTTCAAAGGTTTTTGTTACAAATAAGTAATTAAGCTACTTATAAGAATCAAATTATGTGAAAAGAGCTAAGAAGAAACAAATAATCCACCTTTACATGTCAAAATTAATTCATATTTACCTTAATTGCCATAATAAATGATAATTTTAATTTAAAATACATATTGTTTTATGGCATACCTTTCATTGAAATTATACCGAACTAGACCAAAAAAAACTTATTTTAAAGATATTTTTGTTTTAGGTGCCCCAAGAAAACTATGCCCAGAGCTACCTTCAACCCTTGCATCTAAACAAAGCGCTCTAACCACTGCGACATGGTAACTTTGCATCAAATTAAAAGAATTTTCTTCACAAAAATCTAAAGTTTTAAAAATAAGATCTACCAAAAAAACTAAGTAGAGCAACTTAATTTTAAATGGGGTCAAGTTTTTAAATCGAGGTCAAAAACCTATTAACTTTCGAGGTAAAAAAAAAAACAACCTATTAACTTTCGAGGTCAAAAAAAACCTATTAACTTTTGAGGTCAAAAACAAATATTTTAAGGAAATAATTATTTCAAAATAATGAATCAATTAAAAAATAAAAGTTGAACTAATCATGAATTCGTTCCTTAATTTCTAACAACTTTGCTTCCTCGTATTTCAATTCACTGATATTTTTCTTTATCATTGTTCTGTTTCTCGGCCTCGAATGCAAAGTTATTAACATTATTTTTAAGATTAGTAACAGTTTTTTCTAAAGAAGCAACTTATTTATTTCTTGAATTCAATATTAATTAAATATTGAATTCAATAAATATTTATAAAATTGAAAACCAATATTAATCTTTTTTTTATTCTTCTCCTGACTCAATTTTAATGTTGATTTTTAAATAAGTGATTGTTGACGACAGGATTTGAAATTATAACAAATTCTTTGAGATTGAAAAACTTACTCATAGGTGCATAATTCACGAGAGGGAGCGTTAATACACCAACTCCCGTGTATTAAGCACCTAAATAAACGTCCCACCAACCCTTTCATTAAGACCTCGGTTATTAATCAGGACTAATATTCTCTCAACCCCTTTTTTTCCACCTCTTCCCTTTGCATTAAGCATGCGAGAGTAGAGGTTTAAATTTTTTTATTTCATATAGATGCTTATTTGCTGAAAAATATTCATTTAAATATTATATCAGTAAACTCTCGTTTTACAGTAGCTTGGCTGTGAGATAACACTAAAACTATTTAGCCAAAAGAAAAAAAAAAGATTTAAAGTTGGGATCTAAACCCATGAGCTTCCAAAAGAAATAAGTTCAATCATTGGTTGGATTCTTCAAATTTGTGGAAAAGTCTTAAAGCTTAAACCAGACTTAAAAAAAATTTTGTCTGGCTTTTATTGCGGACAATATTTAACTATATTAAACAAAAAAATTTAAACCTCGCATGCCTAATACAAGAGGAAGGGGGTGGAAAAAAAAGGGAGTGAGGAAATTTTAGTCCTGACCTGATAAAAGGGGTCTCAATAAAAAGGTAGGTGGGAATTTTTTAAAGAACTCAAATAAAAATAATTTAATTCTAGTATGGCTTGCGATCAAATGTGCATTTTTAAACAGCTATTTCACAAAATCTCAATGAGAATTGATATGCTTAGATTAAGTTTTATACAATGGTGAGAAATAAACAAAAACCTTTTTAAACTAAAACCTTTTCAAACGAAAACCTTTTTAAACAAAAACCTAATTTTTGATAAATCAAGGTTTAACAGATTTTTTAAAGAACGACAGTTTTTAAAACCTGTTTTCACTGAAAGTTTTTATTCTTATCAGTGACTAATTTATGAATTTCTATAGTCCCTTAAATATGTATGTGTACATATTTATGTATATATATATATATATATATATATATATATATATATATATATATATATATATATATATATATATATATATATATATATATATATATATATATATATGTATGTATGTATGTATGTATGTATGTATGTATGTATGTATGTATGTATGTATGTATGTATGTATGTATGTATGTATGTATGTATGTATGTATGTATGTATGTAAGTATGTATGTATGTATGTATGTATGTATGTATGTATGTGTGTATGTATGTATGTATGTATGTATGTTGAGGCGGTGAGGCTAGGGCTATTGCTCTCGATATATCTAAAGCTTTCGACAAAGTTTGGCATGCTGGTCTTCTCCATAAGCTTGCTTCATATAGTGTTTCTGCGAAAGTTTTTAAGATTATCAAATCATTTCTTTCTAACCGGTTTATTAAAGTCATCCTTGAAGGCCAACACTCTTCTTTATTTCCAGTAACTTCTGGGGTTCCCCAAGGTTCCATCCTGGGCCCTGTTTTGTTTCTTATCTACATAAACGATCTTCCTGACAACCTTTCATCTAAAGTAGCTCTTTTTGCTGATGACTCAACTTTATACTCCTGTCTTGACAAAAAGTCTTCTCTTTTCGATCGCCTAGAACAAGCAGCTGATCTTGAATCTGATCTCACTTCAGTAATAGATTGGGGTTCACAGTGGCTTGTGAATTTTAACTCTAAAAAAACCCTATTGCTTACTGCAAACAACTACCGTAATATGGTCAACATTCCTATATTAATGAATGGCAATCCTCTTACTGAATCCTCCTCTTTACGTCTTCTTGGATTATCGCTTACTACTGACCTTTCATGGAAACCATATATACAATCGATTGCTAAATTAGCTTCTGCTAAGGTTGCTTCTCTTTATCGTGCTCGCCATTTCCTTACTTCTGATTCCATTCTCTACCTCTACAAATCTCTTATTCGTCCCTGTATGGAATACTGTTGTCATTTTTGGGCTGGTTCTTCTAACGATTCACTTTCTCTTCTTGACAAGGTCCAAAAACGCATTGTAAATGTTGTTGGACCTGGACTATCTGCTAAGCTTGAACTTCTTTCCCATCATCGTAAAGTTGCATCTCTTTCTCTTTTCTACAGATACTATCATGGTCACTGCTCAAAGGAGTTATCATCTCTAGTTCCATCAACTAAAATTTATTCTCGTTTTACTCGTCATTCAGCTAAGTCTCATTCGTTTACTGTATCTGTCCCTGCATGCTCTAAAAACTTTTATTCATCTAGTTTTTTTCCCCGCACTTCAATCCTTTGGAACTCTCTCCCATCTTCATGTTTTCCTGACTCATACAACCTTTAACTTTTCAAGTCTTCTGTCAACCGTTTCCTTGCTCTATAACTCTGTTCTTTTTTTTTTCCTAGTAACTCCCAACTTAATAGTGGTTGCTTGCAGCCTTGTTGGGAGTGAATGCAAATAAAAATAAAAAAAATAAAAAAAAGTATATGTATGTATGTATATATGTATGCATGTATGTATGTATGTATGTATGTATGTATGTAAGATATTACAGAGAAATATTACAGACAAATAGAATTGTTACAAACCAATAAAAAGTATAACACAAAATTATGATACCGTAAATAGCATAAAAAATAATAAGTAAATAAAACAAACTAGATTGACAATTTATATTATAATGAACAGTTTGTTTATTTTAACATGGGTTTTCCCATTTAATATAGAGTGCTTCTTTAATTTTCAATTTGTTTTTGTTAGAAGTATCCAAAATATTAAAACAATTATGGTTACTTAGATTTTAACAATTAACAGATGAAATTAAATGTTTATAAATATTTATAATTATTTTTAATAAGTTTGACTATTTTACATCTTTAAATAATATTATAAGTGACAAAACTAAATTTAAGGAGTTAAAAGCCGTTCCAACTATTAAAAGAGAACAATCTTTGCAAGGGTATCTTAGGAAACGTGATACCGTTGTAAAGAATGACGTTTGCATTGAAATTTATCCAGTTGGTTCACAAACAGCAAGAATTTATGCTTTACCTAAGATACACAAACTCAGTAAAGATCAATAGGATAGCGTTGCCATGGGTTCTCCATTAGCGCCAATTTAAACTAATATTTTTATTGGGTTTTACTAACAAAACTGGGTTAGTAATTGTTCTTCCTCCATACCGATTTTCTATAAACGCTATGCGGATGATATTATCGCTATTTTTAATTCAGAGTTTGAAACTTGGGAGTTTGGAATTTTTTACACAACCTAAAAACTTGAAATTTACTATGAAAAAAAACAAGATAATCAAATTGAATTTTTAGATGTTCTTATCAATAAGTCTGTTTCGCTATCCACATCAATTTATCACAAAAAAACATATACGGGTCTTTTACAAAAAAAAATTTTATAAAATTAGTCATATACGTTGTTTGATTAATAGAACGTATAAAATCAACAACACATGGCTAGGATTTGATAAGTACATAAAATATCTATCTGATGTTTTAAAAAATAACCAATATCCACCCAAAATAATTGACACTGAAACAACATTATTTCTTGATAAAAAGTTAAATCCATCTGTTATAAATAGTATTGATAACCCTAATATAAAATATTATAAACTTCCATTTATAGGATTTTACTCAATTTTACTAAATCTAAAGCCAATAAAATCATTAAAAAATATTGTAAAGATGTAATAATTAATTTAATTTTCACAATCAACAAATTACAAAACAGTTTATGCATAAAAGATCCACTTCCTAACCTGCTTAAATCCAATGTTGTTTACAAATATTTTTGTGCTGCATGCAATACCAGTTATATTGGAGACACTTGACAACAAAGATTCATGAGCATCTTACAAGTGACAAACAATCTAATGTTTATAAGCATTTAATTTCATCTGTTGATTGTAAAAATCTAAGTAACTATAATTGTTTTAAAATTTTGGATACTTCTAACAAAAACAAATTTAAAATTAAAGAAGCATTCCATATTAAATGGGAAAACTCATCTTTAAATAAATCAACTGTTCATTATAATATAAATTTGTCAATCTAGTTTGTTTTATTTACTTATTATTTTTTATGCTATTTACGGTATCATAATTTTG